GTCATTGCTAGGGTAAAATGTAAACGTGAAGATATTAGCTGGCATTACAAGATAAATGACTTAAAATGGCGCGATTTATTGAGCTATGTTCACCGGCGTCTGATACATACACTTTCTTTGCCAGATCCTAAGGGCCGCATCCGGATGGCTGGTGAATAAAAGTTGTAATGACCATATATATAATATATATATTCTGTATGGTCAGTGCATTATTTCTGCTGCTTGAAAATACTTGTGATGTAAAGTTTTGAGCCAAATAATTTGCGTTTTATAGACCTAATGTAAAATGGGTTATTTTTGGGTCGTCACACATGTCAACGCGAATGCATATATTTTTTCGCTAGTGCCGTTAGGTATAGCTGCGGGATTGAATAGGTTGTTAAGGCATTCGAAGGCAACTCAGACAAAGTAAACTGGAGGCTGAGATATGGTATGCCAATTTGAATCCATCCAAAAATCCACCTGCCGAAGAAGCTAAAATAATGGGATAATTTGAGAAGTACACGTCATCTGACAAGGTGATTGAGCTCAACTTGGTCCGGAACAAGCATAAATATGAGAAATATGGATACTGTGAAGAATTATAAAAATAATTATGTTCAGATGAGAATATAGAAAGAAAATTCTATTAGGATCTGATGCGTGAAATTCGATAATATTTTCTATCAGAAAGTAACGGGGAGGATAAAGGCTAACACGTAGGTAGTAGGAACTGAGGCCGTATAGATATTAGTGGATCAGAGAAGGTTATCTAAACATTCGGGACAGAAACAGCAGGGCCAGACTTAAGCATGCGAACAACTAAAAGTGCTTGCTTTGCTCAACTGAAGATCCCCTCCGTGGTCGTAAGACCACTTGTTAGTTTGTAGAAACTGGCTTCGTCCAAATCCTGACGTTTATTTGGCGCACGCAATTGTAGAAAGGCATATCCGCCGAGAAACTCAGCAACCTTGCGTACTGAGACGTTGACTGGACGAATCACCACCCGGCCACCTTCTGTATTTGTTGAGGAAGCCGTGACGGAGGCCACAGTAGAATGCCTCTTTCCGGATGCATTGAAGTCATGACCAACTGGAAGAGAAGGAAATTCT